AACAACTGAAATGGTAATTAGAGCGTGGAGCAAAACAATATGCTTTTGAGTCAGTGTGCCGTCAGCTTGTGTCAGTGAAGTGATTTGTCCATTAACCCTCTGTCAGCGTTAAACACATCCAGTTCTGCAGAACAAAGAGTTTAGATTCAGAACCAGAAAGTAGGTTGAAGACAGACAAAGACTCCCTCTGAAACAGAAGACTGGTTACATTTATGGTCCATATGACTTGGGTTTATGTGGTCTACATTAGATTATAAAGTAAGTTATATAGAGAGATTGGCTTCCATGTCCATTCTTATATCACGGAGGACATCATCAAGCTTAAATTGGCACACATTTGCCCAGTTAGGCTGAAAAAAGCAAAAATTAGCACAAAAAGTGAAAATGATCTGAAAAAAGCTTAAACTAGCAACAACAACAACAGGTGAAAAGTAGCTAAAAACTAGAAGAAAGCTTAAATTACCAGAAAGAACTGAGTTATGCTGAAAAAAGTTGAAATTAGTGCAGAAAATGTGGATTTAGCTGAAAAAGCTAAAATTTGTAGTAATAGTAGCTGAAATAGTAAAAAGCTGAAACTTGCAGAAATAAGGTGAAAGGGGCATAACAAGCTGAAATTAGCAGAAAGAATCTGAAAGGAGAACAAAACAGCTGGACACACAGCTGAAATTAGCTGAAAGTAGCTGAAAAATGTTAAAATTTGCACAAGGAAGCTGAAAGAATCTGAACCAGAATAAAATGTGACGGGAGCAGTAAAATTCAATTCAATTCAGTTTATTTATATAGCGCCAAATCACAACAAAGTTGTCTCAGGGCACTTTACAGGAACATTCACATACATAAAAGCTTAAAAATGTTGTAAACAGATCTAAAGATTTGAAGGATGTAAAAAGAGCTCAATTAATTTTCTAAGAGAAAAAAGCGTGAGGAAAAACCTAAATAATTCAAAAAGCTAAAGTTGCACCAATACCTAAAGCCATTGCAGCCTTTTCCTGAACGAGCTGAACATTTTGATTTATGACTTGTTGAAATAACTTGAAAACTGCGGGACAAGAAAGATGCCAAAAATGTACGGAAGAAAAACAGATCTCAATAGTGAATACTTCATAAACATTCACAGTATTATAGGTTTTTTGCTGTTTGGCTGGTGAATTCTGGATTGTCTATAAATTTGTGTGGATGTGTCGAAGTTCGTCAGCGCTCAGACTGAATTTGTGGAGCTGCAGCAGGGAGCTGGAGCAGCTAGTATTAGGACTGCGGACTTTCTAGCAACACACATGAAGGGGAAATAATCTTGGAGAAGCTGTGAGCTCGACTTGGATTATGCTACGACTTTCCCTTCAAAATTCAATGTCTTCACCGGCCTATATGTAAATGTATAACGTCTGTTTATGTTGCTTTGCTGTGGTAGGTTTTTTTGATGCCTCAAATCGTGCCCTGTCTAGGACACGGCGTGAGAGATCTTTTTTTATACCGTCTCTCCTCATGTTTTCTTCCCTTTTCTCATCTAAGCAAAATATTATTCTGAATAAGAATAAGAAGGCCGCGCTTTTTATAATTGCAGCTTCGTGCACTCCGCCCATCTTTGGGACGACTGTACGTACATATTCTTATTGTATCTCGGTGCAATGCCAATAAAGTTTATTCTGATTCTGAACCTGTACCGTGATCAAGCATATGTGTGCTACATGAGGGGCAGATTCTTATAATCGGGGAATTCCAATATAGTGAAGCTAATTGTCTGTTTGTAAACCAAGTTAAGCTGTTAGCTTTTTGGTTTGTTAAAAAATTCAATGTAAATTTACTAAACTGTCCTAAGTTGTAAATAAGTCATGTGTTTAAGTGTAAATGGTTAAAGCAGCAAAACAATCTCCTCAAGAAGGAAGAAAATACAATATACACACTTCCCTGCATGAATACATTAACTGTTTTATTCCCGTTCTGTGTTTTAACCATTGAAGGAGTAGCTGCATTAAAAATATGAAAAGAAAAATGACCATCACTGTACGAATGGGTCTTAACTCGTATCATTTCCACACACCGTTGCTGTGCTCATCAGTTTTTCTCCACCAATACACAGATAAGCAAAGCATAAAATGTCTGTTTTCTCAGCCTCGTGGCTCTGCTCTGTAGCCTTAATTGGAGTAATTCAACGAGAGTGAAAATGTCCACGTACTCTTCCCACGCTATAATTCAATTAAGGCCGTGTTTAAAAGATTTTCATAAAGAAACGATTGGAAATGTTTAAAACATGGCAGGAACTTTGCGTAAGAGTTCAGCCCACTCGTCAAAACCTTTATGTCCTCCGTGTGTAATGAGCCTCAGTTTTTTTTAATCTGAATGAGAAGATAAATCCAGTGGATGACCGTGCGTTAAAAAGATTTATGTTCAGAGCTGATTAAAGGACATTTAAATAACATATTTTTCTAGCCATGTGGAGAAAAAAATACATTTTTCAAGTTTCTATACTGAAGATTATACATATAATAAAAAAGATTATAGATTGATAATAAAAATATGTAGTGGGTAAATTTATTGATTTGAAAAAGGCATTTGATGCCATAAAATACTGCTACATAAAATGGAAAGGTTTGGAGTGAGAGGGGAAGCAAATAACAATATGTGCAAATTGGTCAGTTTATTATTATTATTTTTTTGTTTATTGTTGTCATTGTCGAATGTTGTCATCACTCGTTGTTAAAATCAGGTCTCTCTTGTAAATGAGTCCCCGAGGCTCAATGGGATTAACCTGTATAAATAAAGGTTGAATGGAAAAAAAAAAAAAAAATAAATCTGCATGTTTGACTATTACCTCTGGCATCCCACAAGGCTCAGTACTGGGTCCCAAATTGTTTATTATGTTTATTAATGACATATGCAGAGTGACAAGTATACTTAATTTTGTTGTATTTGTAGATGATACAATTTTTTTGTTCAGGTGAGGATTTAAAGCAGCTATTGAAGGTTGTTGGAAAATAAATTAATAAACTTAAATGCTGGTTTGATAGAAACAAATTATCTTTAAATTGATCTAAAACCAAATGTATGTTGTTTGGAAATTTAAAAATTGATACAAATAAACTGAAGATAAATAATGTATAAATTGATAGAGTGTTTGAAAATAAATTTCTGGGTGTAATTTTGGATACAAGTTTTGTTGGAAACCCCATATTAAACACTTGTATTTGGCTATGGCTATCCCCATGGCTAAAACAAGGTATATATTAAACATTAAATCTTTGCATACTCTTTTATTACACCCTGTTACTGCTGTATTTAGACTATTGTGTTGAAGTTGGGGTAATAATACATACAAAAGTTTTCTACAAAACATATGCATATTGCAAAAAAGAGCAATAAGAATGGTACACAATGTTTAGTATCGTGAACACACCAGTCCACTTTTTTATTATTATAGCTTATAAAATTGTTGGATTTGGTACAATTTGGTACAAGAAAATGAAAATATTATTTAAGAACAGCGAGGGAAGGTACAAAATGAGAGGAAAATGAAATTTCAAGCAACCCTGTGTTCGCAGCACTCCTAAAAGCATGTGCACATCAGTTTGTGGAGTGAGTTTGTGGAATGGCTTAGATGACGACATTAAGCAAAGTAAAACTATTGCACAATTCAAGAGATGAAGGTGTATAAAAACGAATGAGACAAAATGACGTTATTCCAGCAGTTAATCTGTGTGTTCGCATATTGAGCTTTGGTGATATGAGAGTAAATTTGTATCTGCATGTATATTTGTGTATGTGTATGTATACGTAGCTATGCATGCATGTCTGCGTATTTACAGTAAGCTGCAAGTATCCATGTATGTATGGGTATTTATGTATGTATTGAATTCAGAATCGGTCTGTAAACTTAGGGACAGGACTGGATAAGCTTTTATTTTGGTGGAAATATTTACCTTTATATTAATTTTTTGTTTGTTTTGTTGATATTTTAACAGTTCGAAACGAAATAACGAAAGAAAAGAAAGAAAGATGAAGTGAAAAAGTGTGCTTTATTGGTTTTGAGATGGAAATTGCACCAGCCCAATAAATGTAACATTATTTTAAAGCATTTGACGTGAACATGTTTAGCTCTATTTCAGATACTTGACACATCATGGAGACGTTCATCTCACAGTTGTTTTGAATCCAGTTTTTAATATTTAATTGAACTAAAAAACAACAGCACAATAAAACATTTTCTCACTTTAGTTACAAAAATGGGTCGCCACGAGGGCTTCTCATTGCATTCACAGAAGGATCCGAACAGTGGATGTCTAACAGTTACCGTGTTTCGCTCTTTAAAAACAATCCCCACCCTAAAATATAGAAACTCTCTTTTTTTTTTTAACCAGGGTATATACAGGGCTTAGCATCCGTTCATCTTAAACTTGTGAGGTATACAACCAATATGAAAGCCTGTTGGAAAACAACGAAGAGAATTAAATAAAAGAAAATGGGTGTAATTGTCTTCCACGAGCACAGGATTGCAACACTTAGTGGGAGATGTTGCCATGTGGTGAGGAGTTTCACCTGCGGTCAGGAAATAAAACATAACGCCAAGGGTTGAGCTGTCAGTATATACAAAGGCCTCACGGTCTGATTTAGCAGTTAAAATTAAATTGAACGCTCTTTTATTTGCTTCATGGCATTTACACGAAATTTGGAAAAAAATAAACCCAGCAAACCGTTTGATTTAATCAAGTTTGAACTCTGACTGTTTGAACCGACGGTGAAATAAAAGACCCAAAGCAGACATGCAAGTTTTGAGAGTGGGTTTGGAAACAAAAGCATTGTACAAAATATTAATTACATTTATTTTAATAATTATTTTTTTTTAAATCACCTTCTTTCTTAGCACCACAATAAACTTTTTGTGTTTGATCGAGCACCATTGTAGTCGTTTTCACACAGCACCTGTAGAATTTAATGAAGAGATCTAAACCCTCCCCCCCATCCTCTCATGGTTACCTCCGACTCCCCCCCGCCCCCTTTCCTCTGCCACGCACTCCAACGTCCTTCACCTTTGTTCCATAACGCTGTTAAGTCATGTGGTTCAAGCCCTATGAGGGCAACAAGGGTTTTCCTAAGATACATACATGGAAAGTTTGTTACACCATCTCTTATTCAAAACTTGCATGTGGCATAGAAAGAGTGGGGGAGGGGGGCTAAAAGTGGGGTTTGGTGGCACCCAGAATGTCTCGACTTGACGTTCTTTGCTGTCCTCATCAAGTCCTTTTTTTGTTTTACGTTTTACTTTTTTTAGCCAAGGAAGCAGACAGGTCCAACTTCAAACCCAAACTTCTGGTTAGGGTCCCCAAAGTCAGTCAACATGACATCCATGATTGGAACCTGATCGATTTTGGGAGTATTAATCTCCAACACAGTCTTTCCATAGCCCTTCCTTGTCTGCAACGAGAGAGAGATGGGTACAAACAAAGCTTACTATCAAACAGAAAACAAATTAACTTGTCAAAGTTAAGCACACAAAGTGATAGAAATTAAATAAAATATGTGCCATAAGGACTACATGATAGAGAGAGAGCACATTTATAGTCTCGTATCTATAGGTCGTGGCAGCGCCTTGAGCTTGGATAGAAGCGGTTGTTCAAAGTGAACCGAGTTTTTTTTTTTTTTGAGTCATTCAGGTAATATTTATTTGTACAGTTTGCATTTCTTGTGATTCCGTATGCCTAAACATAAATTGGTCATGCATGACCAATATAGGTGGCGGCATCCCAGTGGCATGATAGTGTAATTGGTCAGTTATCAGAGCATCTGAGAGTCAGTCAAAGATCCCTCATAGATACATAAGAGAATTACCAGCACTTGATAGGTCACACTGCATTATGTGTTGCTTCCAACCCCACAATAGTAGTTTTTTATTGTATTTCCATGGCCATTGTTACCTTCAGCGTACATGATTACTCACTCAGTTGATCATTACCATCATACCCAGTATTGATACCTCTGGTTGTCTCTTGTTCATTGTCAGTTCCTCAATTTTCATTCCCTTATGCCAGATTTGGGGTTTTGTTTCTTGTCCTGTCCTGTTTTAGTTTTATTTCATTGGGGACTTTGAAATGTAATCAATCAATAGTCGACAACTCGACATTGGGTCAGAGTTGATCCCACGCAAATTTGAGGCCCTTGATGGTCCCAGTTGAACCTCAACATGAAACAGTCATGTTTTGACAGACTGCACCAGGGTGCTGACTCAGAAGATGTAGGACCATCAGGGTCCACTGATTCATGACCAAAGGTGACCTGAAGTCATACCCCATGACTCCCTACACCATATGTGTCAAACTTAAGGCCCAGGGGCCAAATGTGACCCTTGTTAACATCTTATCATGTTAATTTAAATGTAAAATATGTTTGTCACTTTAATTTTTGTCAGTAATCTTTGATTATGATGTCAAAAGTGCAACAGAGAATGTCAAATGAGACCAATCAAACTCTTGTTCAGGAACCTGCAACCAAGAAAAGATGTTGGGTATCTAACTTGAGTTCATGTAAATTCTGAAACCAGCCCTTAGATTGAAAAAGGTTTTAATATTGGCCCCGTTTGTACGTGGGTTTGACACCCCTGCCCTACACCATGATGCCAGGAGTAACGGTTATCCCTTTCCACAATATTCACAGGACTGGTCCTCTACCCACGGCACCTCTGTAATGGTATTTTCACTAGAAAGAACCACACCACAACAAAGTAAGTTTACAAGGTTACTGAAAGTAACAAATCTGTAGATTGAGTCTCATAGTAGATGGGTAGGAAGATGGACACTTAAAGTAGGGATTGGTAGACATAAAGGATGGACGCAGTGTGTAGGTATGGAGCATTGTATTGAACATCCTGGAGATGGATCGAAGGAGATTGGACAGTGTGGATTGGATTTGCTCTGTATATCCCTGCAGTGCTGTTTGATGGTGGAGGAGTGAGCTGACTATAAGAACGCTTGCCAGGTGACTGGAAGTGAGGTTGTCATTATCTATGTCTCCTTGTTACACATAAAGCACAGTAAGAAGTCCAACACCTGTGTCCAGAAGGCTGGCTCAGATGGCATAAGGTTCTGTAATGGTTGACACAACACTACAATCATTGCTTGTGCAGTCAGTCGTGGGTGACTTGGATACCCTTATGTATCCATTGGTTCCACCCATAGGCCAATGTGTCACAATGTCCTGATACAACCACTTGGTCTCATTAAAACCTCTAATGTGATTCCCATAAAACTCCATCAATGGCTTGTTGAGGAATCTTTGACCAATTCTCAGATGCTGCTGTGATTGCCTGATTACAGTCTAACTCTACCCTCATGCCACCATTTATATCCTCCATTGCCTGTTCTGGTCATTTGCAACCAACATCCAAATCAGACCCTTCATTCTTGGTGCATATCTTTTTCTTTTTTTGTTGTTGTCAGCAAATACATATTGTAATTTCAGAGTTATTGTAGGTATTACAGTCTATCCAGAAGAACCTCAAATCAATATCACAAAAAATGATTTTGGTGGAAAATACTGTAGTTAAACAGAATCCATTCAACTGGCGCAGAAAGAACTGTGTCTTTGGAAAGAACTTACCGAACATCCATCTAAGATGGCTGTAATGTACGGGTTATTGTCGCGAGACATCTCCTCGTCGTTGGCGCCCAAGAATCTTAGCGCCTTATCGTAACTGTTGGTGGACTCGTCGTGCCACGCCACAGACTGGTGGCAGCTGTAGGTGAAGTTTTGCCTGGCTGAGGCCGTCAGTAGTCTGAGGAAGGTCATCTGCACCATGTTTATAGAGTTTCCATCTAGGTCAGCATACGAAAACTGGAAGAAAAAAGCGAGAACGTTAGGTAATATGAGCACATTTGACCATTTTATTTGTCGGCTTGTTTCAAAACATGAACAGTAAGAAAACAAAGGAAGCATGTAAAATCGTAAAGAATCCTAACTTTAATTTTTATGTATCTTAAACAAAACCAATCAAAATGTGTAAGAATCATTGTTTATCCTAGTTTTAGGTTGTTTCTGACTACATGCATGAATTTAACAAAGTTATAAATCACCCCTGCAGTGTCGACCTTTAGTTTTATCACTGACAATGAATGTGTGCTTAGAAAGGTTGATATGTTTCTTGTCACTAAAATACTTGAAGATTAAAAAACACACGGTTGGTAATAATGCATTTAAACTAGGCAAACAAAATCAATAGAATCAATGTGAGAACTGTAATTTATATTTAATATTTGATCAATAAATGCATTATGTTTAACATCCATACAGTCTGGTTCCAAATCTAAACAAGTGTAGCTCATCTAAATCCACACAACCCTGTTTGTATACAGAGTAGGATTTGAATTAGCAGATATATACCTGATGACCTCAAATCTATCAGATGGACAGAGACTGTTATTTTCATTGATCTGAATACAGTCTGAGCCATCTGGTGACTTTCTTTCTTGAATTAACCAAGCAGAAAAGACAATTTTTATAATCATTACTGTTTTACAAATGTTTGATAATCAAATTGTGTTAGTTCCATTCAATGCTTACAGGTTGAAAAGAACTACTCATTTTTATTTTACATAAACAGTAAGTAATGATTTTTATTCCTCATTCAAAGAAGAAATCAGGTTAATATGCATTTCTTGATTCTCTGTCTGAAATGAGCCAAGTAATGTAAGTATGTGAAAGGTCGAGTCTTGGTCAACTAAAATGTTTACTGAGAAGAAATGTCATGTTTTACTATTTGAGAAGATACAACAGCGTGAGACTCCACGAAGTCTGGTCGTCTGCAATAATCTTTTCTGTATGTTGAAAACAATCCTTGACTTATGATAACATCTTACATCACAAACCACACCTCTATTTCTGGTACATCCACGAATCAGAAAGCTCTAAATTGAACCGGAAGTCGACCCATTTAAAATGTGGCAACTTCCCCAGTTCATGTTAGAAGGGAGAAAATTCGAGAATTCAGGAGAGTCTGGAGTCTGATAGTTCCAGAGGCTGAAGAGTTCTGAAGAATGAAAGGAGTTCATGGTTCTTGGGTGCAAACGCATTCAGGATGATCCAGAGACGTTTTGGGATTATAATTTCTGTTTGAAAACCACGTACGACTCCCTGAGGGTTTGGTAGTTCTCACGGAGACGCTGAAAAGAGTCAGGAAGGAACCTACGCCGACGCTGAGTTCATCATCAAGGTAGATGGTTCTATTTCCGACCAAGTGTACCGTGGGCAAGCTGATATCTGATGGAGCGTGCAATTTCTGGTCAAACAGATTAATTCCCTCACATAGTTCTCTGTAAGACAAATCTCCATGTCATCTTAAAACTCTCCTCTTCCTCATAAAATCAGTACAGATATTTTAGAAATATCTGAAGCAAAGTCCTCGTTCACCGCCGAGTGATCGATGCTCATTTTCTGTGAAACTTGTCTGTTATTATTTTCATATTTTGCCAAATTAATGTAAATGTTTGATGTTAAACTTTGATTCTGAAAATAAATGACCGCATTGATTTGATGGGTCAAAGATAATAACGTCTCTCGTTACATTTCTGTTAAATTCAATGCACGTCATTACACAGCCAGAAAGATGAGGAACTCGTGAAAAAGTATGCATATATACGGGGATATATTGTCATACTACAGCTAGTGGCACGTACCTACGTGATTACTACACTACTATGGCTGAGAATCTTAACTCTGCCCATGAATCATATTGTATGTTTGCGACAGAAGAGAGAGCTGGATGGGGAGCTGAGTGAGGCTGCAGCAGGCATCTGGCAGCCAAAGACGATGCTGGATAATTTAATCTATCATCAACTCATTAAATAAATAGTCATGCAAGGAAAACCAGATCTTTTTTAGCCCAGGTTTAATTTTGCAAGAGGATAAGCAGTTGGAAACCAGGTTACAGGATGTTGCATCACGCCCGGATCTCAAGGTCTCCTCACAGGCAGTATAGAGAAGTGTTTTTTACTAATGGATATCAGACAGAGGTGACGTCAAGACAACCTTTACTTCACATCACATCTCTTGAAGGCGTCACCTATCAATGTCCAGTCAACAGGCTCCTTTCTGAGTAGACAGAAAGACTCACTTGTCTTTGCATACATGGTTCTACATCATTTTATTAGTAAGTGAAACATCCATGACCTTTACATCCCTCATCAGACACCTCCAGGTTCTGTGAACTCAGCTGAACTGATAAGGTTATAAAGGCAAGCTGAGAAGGCGGCTCGGGGCAGATTCTCATGACTGGACTTCATGTGTGTACTTTATGTATATTTATGTGACTTGTCTTGAAAATCTAACCTTGAAAGTAAATACCAGTAAAACTATTCTCCTGGTGTGGAGTGTAACTCTGTTTGAGTAAAATAAAGAGAGAATATTTTTCTCTAACAGAGAACATTGGGAGGGTTGTATCAGAAAAGTGGCATTTTAATATTGTAGCTGAATGGTAATTCACAAATAAAGCAATTAAGATGAAAATATATGTTTTCATAAAATGATTCCATCTGCTGATCAACGTCCATTCTGTTTTTTTATTCCTTCAAAATGTTGAGTTTGAAAAGCTTTGGAAATTCCTTTTTCTGACAAACAACAAAACCAGTTCACATTTGGGGCAACGTTTGTTGCAAGAAACATACGGTAAGTTTCTGTGATTCATTTGAACTTTGTTCCTTTAACATTTCTCACATTTTACTGCTAATATTGATGTTTTTTTTGTCTTTTTGACTGACTGAACTGTAAATCACGTTGGACATAGTCTGTTTTTAACACGCTACAGAAATAAAACTGAACTTCACATTAGTCATGTGGCTTCAAAGCAAAGGGGGTGAATACTTTTGCATCTGCATCAGAGAAAACAGGAAAAGGAGAAAAGGAGTTTGTTTGGTAAGAAATGGGAGGAAAACGTACTATTTTTCCACGTTTAAATTCGCTGAACCATGAACCTGCAACCTCTTTGGGCCAGGAGGAGATTCTGACCTGTGGAAACAGAATTAATGAGCTATAATTAAATACATTTATGAATTATCCACAAAATACAATAGTTGTATCAAACAACCTGAGAGGAACAATCTAACTTGGGTTTTGTTTTCCTGTTTATTTTTATGTAAACCATTTTAGTTATGTTTTAACATTTTCCAAAATATTTATTTTTATTTACAAACATATTCCTAATAGTAACTAATTATAAAGCACTTCAAATTCTATTATCTGTTTCTATCTTTAAACAATACTTTTACTTTTAAGCTACTCTGAAGCTTTTAGTCTTTTGCTATGTTTAGTTTTCAGCTAGTATTTAGTTTATTTGGGTTTTTAGCTAGACTTTGCTGTTAGCTTTTTAGCATATTGCTACTTTTAGCTGTTAGCTAACCTATGGAAATTTGTATCCATTAGCTAGCTTTTTGCTAGTGTTGTATTTTGCCATTACTGTTAGATTTTAGTTAGCTTTGTCATACTGTTAGCTTCTAGCCTTCCTTTAGACATTTTTAGGTAGCATTTTGCTATTTATAGTTTCTAGATACTTATTATATTTACTTTGTAACTAGCATTTTGCTGCTTTTGCTTTTATCTAGTGTTTAGCTTCTTGTAGCTTTTTACTAGCTTTTTTTTTTCTTTTAGACTCGTTAGTTTTAGGTTATAGCCAGCCTTTTGCTACTTTTTAGTTTTTAGCTAGTACTTTTCCTTTAACAAAAAGTAGTGCATTTGAAGTTGATTTTTGCAAGTATACTTTAAGTTAGGTATAAGTATATCAAGTATACTATACCCATACTTGTAGTGTACTAGAAAGTATACTGATTTAATACTTGTTTGGACAAAATTGGGACATTTTTATACTATTTTTAAGTATATCAAATAAAGTTTATAAAAGGTAAACTTCAAGTACACTTCCTCATTTTTAGTGTAAAATAAGTATACTTGTAGTATACTTAAATAAACTACTTTTTGCTAAGGGTTAGCTTCTAGCTAGCAATTAGCTACTTTTGGTTTTTAGTTGGTACTTTGCTTTTTGTTTCTATTTGGCTTTTATTTTATTTTATTTTATTCTTTAGCTTTAACAACTATATTTTAGCAGTCTGCCTTTGAGTTGTTTGTATTTTATTTTATTTTTCTGTTTTTTATTTTTTTATTTTTTGTCATCTGAATCAATAATGTGAGCTAAATATCTGAGGATGACAGGGAACTCGTTGCTGTGAACAAAAACCTAAGAGCACTCACTCCGTTGGACTTCTTGTCAGGATAGATGCAGGTTTCCCCGCCAGCAGTGAAGTTGCAGTAGACTTTGAAGGAATCTCCTGAGCAGCCTTGGTTGGGATCGATCCAGTACTCGCCTGAGGAGAACCCAGAACAATGTCCACTGAAAAGGCTGCAAACTGGATTTAAATCTAATCCAAAGGTCTGATTTACCACTAGAAATCTACAATTAACCCTGAAAAAAGAAGAAAAGCTTTAAAAGTCTGGCTCTGTTGAATCTCTGCCGGGGTTCGACTCACCATCGGGGAACTCGGGGTGGCAGAGCTGCAGGTCTTTGCAGGTCCTGGCCGGGTTGTTTTGCGTCCCCATGGGGTATTTCATTCGCTCGATGTCCTGTTTGAGGTTGTTGAGCGAGCCAAAGATGTCCTCCATGCCGTAATCCATGAAGGTGGCAGCCATGTCTGCTTGCACGTCGCTGGAACGCTTTGTCTTCTTGGGCGACTGAATGGGGAGGGGCTGGATCACCTCACCTGGTGGGCCCTATTTTGAGACCAGACAACTCATTTCCACCTGGTACAAAAAATTTAAGTCACAAGAAAACTGCCTTAAATACTCACAGGAGGACCAGGAGGACCCATTGAACCAGTGTCTCCTTTTGGACCAGCAGGACCCTGAAAAACCCCAAGTAGAAACGTTTTATCCGAGCTAAACCAAGCTTTGATAATAAATAGAACAGAAAAAATAAAGTTCAGCTCACAGATGACCCTTTGGTTCCTTTGGGACCTTGAGGACCCTGCATTAGAAATGAAACAGTAATGTGGCAAACGGTTATTTTATTTTAATAAAATTATAAAATAACTGACTGAAACGAGTGAAGATAAGCCTTACAGGTAAACCAGGGGGACCTGGGGGTCCAAGAGGCCCGGAAGCTCCGCTGACACCCTGTCATATGAAGAGATTAGCCATTAATTTGTTTCTGTTAGAAAATAAATCACAAACAAGACCCTTAATCAGGCCTTTAAAAGATAAAGAAGCAAACTGACGGGAGAGGCCATTATGATTTCATGAAGATAAACCTCCAGCCAGCGCTTCACTTTAACACCGAGTGAGGGCCCGCAGAGCAAACCGCTCAGTCCGTTTGATTTAAAGACGGATGAAGGCCGCCATCGATCCTTTGTAAAGCCCGGAGCTTTTAACTACTTTCAACACCGCTGCTTATTGGAGCGGAGGGATCAGACAGAAGCAACAACAAAAAAAAATCTATTTCAATTTTTATTCTTTCTCTTGGAGCAAAACTCTTCTGCGTTTCCAATAAATCACAATCTGATTTCATTAGAGCAGGCAAGAGAAAGGATAGTTCAGATCTTTTAAATGAACAGGCAATATCTTACCTGTTGCAGATAATTCAGTCAAGGACCTCATTTTGGAGAAATAGTTTAATTCTGACCAGTTAAGAAAGGCTAAAGGATAGTCTGAGCAAGACCAAAGTGGATTAAGAATTTATAAAGATGTACATTGTTGTTAATTCCATATTACATTATTTCGTCTGTGCTGTTGAGCTTTTGATTAGGATGTCTCCAGGGTGCCTCCCAATGGAGACCCAGACCTCATTGGAGGGATTATGTCTCCTCTTTGGCCTACGTTGGGGTCCTCCAGGAGGAGCTGGGAGGGAGGACCTGTTACCTCCAGGACCCAACCATAAATAAGTGTCAGAAAAACATTACTTAAGCAGAAATGTTATGACACTTCTGCAGGAAGTGCCCCGGCTTGTAAATAATCTTACCATTCTACATAAATATTTGTGTCATGCCAAATTAATCATTAAAGAAAATGGTTTAAATGGCAAAATTATCGGGATAGTTGACATTTCGAGAACAAAAAAGTGCGACTTATATGCCGGCAAATACGGTAATCCATAAGAGATTCTGCTGTCTCAAAATTTGCATTTCTTCATGCAAATGCTCTAATTCACATGTTTATGCTAATGTTAATTAGACTTTTTACATTGGTTGTTTTAGGCAATAAATAAATAAAATAGAAAAGTTCCTGCTAGAAATAGTGTCATCAGAATCTAAGGCTGCTATATGACGTTTAAATTAAAATATGCCACGTAAATAACCTTGTTTTACAAAACTAGCAGCGATGTAACGATTTCTAAAATCACTTAGTCACAGTTATCCACTTTAGTCTTAACTGCGCTAGGACCAGCTGTTAGCTTGGTGTTTATTGTCTGACTTAAACTATATTTCTCTCAAATGAAGTAAATAAAAATTATCTACAGCAGGTAAGATATTGATTGTTCAAAACCATTTCACATGTCCCCGTTTCAAAATATCCAAACTATTGTTTTAAGGAAACGGTTTTAACAACATGATGCTAACACTAAAAATAAGGAATATAAATAAAATTCAGTTTAAATGACACATTAGAAGTTTAAATAATTTTTAAATGTTTTTTTTACTAGTTTGTATGTTATCTGAACGACAGAGTGGAGCTGCAGGTCCAGCAGTGACCTGTGGCCCGATCAGAAGGGTAAACGAGCTAAACATGGCTAACAGGTTGGCGTTAAACAGACTGGAAACCATTGGCGGAATGGGAGTCATCACTTACAGAGTCACCCTTGCCACCAGGAGAACCCTGGGGTCCAGGCAAGCCTCGATCTCCCTTCTCTCCTTGCTCTCCAGGGGGTCCGATCAGACCGATTAAACCTGGGTGACCCTGCGGGGCAAAACACAAAAAAGTCAAATTAAACAAGCAATTTTTGTGTGCATCAACTTTAAAGCTACACTAACGAGTAAGAGCAACCTGAAAAACTCAGGGAAGACGCCGAGTCACAAAAAGGTATGAAGATAAATCAGCCTCAAAAGTGTAGAAGCATACGATAAGAACCACAAGTTTTACAAATGCAAAAAAATTGTTTTTCAGGTGTAAACATATCAAACTGCACAGGAATGAACATTCTGCACATATACAAAGTCAAACGCACATGCACGAATCACCTGTTGTGCACGGAGCAGCTGCCTATGAATGCAACTTTTGAGACTTTGCTCACAAAGGTAATGCTGCGTTCAAGGCTGGTGAAAAGCTGGGACATCTGAGAATTACCGTATATCCTGAGTTATCGGGAAAAAACTCATTTCTAACTTGGCACAGGAGCTCATAACCTCTATATTAACATGCGCATGCTCATGTTAACATTACTGCATTCAAAAATGGTAATTTGTATTTTTCAAACTTTAATTTTAGCAGGAAAGAAATTCATTGAGATCATTAATCTTTTTTACAAGGACGTCCTGGCCAATGTGCAAGGCGCAAACGAGCCATTACATTTACAGCAACAATAATATTAACGTGTTTATAAAAAAATATCCTGTAATTAGACATAAAATACAATGCAAGTTTAAAAAAATATCACAATTTGAGACACTTAAATGTTACAGGTGCAAGATGTGACTAAAACTTCTGACAGTTTTTGTTTAAAACTCGATAAAGGAATAAGAGATTCCAACGTCAACTTAAGCTGCTGATTGTGTGAACTTTATGGTTAAAATAAACAACCTAAAATGAGCAAGTTATTCTTCACATGGAAAATTTATCAGGAAAATATATTTTCCCAGTAGTTTTTCCACAAGATGAATAGCCTGCCCATTATAGCTGTTTATTTCAGTCATACAGTCCACAAAATAAACATTTCCTTCTTGTTGAAAAACTGCTGGGAGAAATATATTTGCCGGTATTTTTTTGTAGAGAAAGATATGGAAGCCCATTTCCGTCATGAAAGGAAAAATAAAAGCCCACAGGAAGTCATAATTTCAACTTTTAAAGTCATAATTACGAGAATAAAAGTCATAATTACGACTTTTAAAGTCATAATTATGAGAATAAAAGTCAGAATTACGACTTTTAAAGTCATAATTACGAGAATAAAAGTCATAATTTCAACTTTTAAAGTCATAATTATGAGAATAAAAGTCATAATTACGATTTTTAAAGTCATAATTACGAGAATAAAAGTCATAATTTCAACTTTTAAAGTCATAATTATGAGAATAAAAGTCATAATTACAACGTTTAATGTCATAATTATGAGAATAAAAGTCATAATTTCAACTTTTAAAGTCATAAATAGGAGAATAAAAGTCATAATTACGACTTTTAAAGTCATACTTATAATAATAATAATAATGTCATCACAATGTCAGCACTGTATGTTTCCATACAATGGCGAAATTAGTCTCTGCATTTAACCCATCCACCACCAGGTGGTGCAGTGGGCAGCTATTGAAAGCGCCCGGGGGGCATTTTGGGGATGAGGCGTGCTGCCCAGAGACGCCACGTGATGTGCAGTAACTGGGGATCGAACCTGGGACTTTTGGGTCCCAAGCCGGCTGCCCTGCCTCTACACCATCTCGGCCCCCAATGAGAATAAAAGTCATAATTACGACTTTTAAAGTCATAATTACGAGAATAAAAGTCATAATTTCAACTTTTAAAGTCATAATTATGGGAATAAAAGTCATAATTTTGAGTTTTAAAGTCACAACTATGAGAATAAAAGTCATAATTATGACTTTAAAACTCATAATTATGACTTTTATTCTCTTAATTATGACTTTAAAAGTCGAAATTATGACTTCCTGTTGGGCTTTTATTTTTTCTTTCATGGCGGAAATGGGCTTCCACAGAAAGAAACTACAGTGCTGGAAAATATATGTTCCCAGTATGTTTTCCACAAGAAAAATAGCCTGCCCATTATAGCTGTTTATTTCAGCCATACAGTCCACAAAATTAACATTTCCTTCTTGTTGAAAAACTGCCAGGAGAAATATATTTGCTGGTATTTTTTTGCAGAGAAAGAAAATACAGCACTGGAAAATATATTTTCCCAGTAGTTTCTTTAAAAAGAATTTATACACATGCATCTTGTTGTAGCCTTATGTGACTACAAACTTTTGAGAATAATTTATCTCCATACAGACTCTGACCAGGGTCAAAGATGTGGCTGCAGACAAAGACACGAAACTATTTGTCGTGCGCTTTGATGGGTTTTCTCTCCCACCGTCAGCCAGGGAGCACGAGACAAATTGGACAAAGTAACACACTGTCTGAACACCATCAGCAGTTATTTTTCACCAGGACCAAGACAAACTGCAAGTTCGAAGGGATGCATCTACATTTTCAATCCCATGAGAATGTTTTTTTTAGCAAATACAAACTAAGTTATATTTCTATAAATGTTGCGGCGAGGATCTGCTGCAAGAAAGTAACACTAACTAGAACCTGCTTTAATATTACAGCCACTGCTTCCATTTTTCTTAGAAAAAGACAAATTAAATAAAAGCAGTGCTCACCTTTTCACCTTTGGACCCTGGGTCACCTTTCAGACCTGGAAGACCCGGAGGACCCTGCACCACAACAAAAAGGTAAATAAAAATCATCACGCAGAATCAGACGGCATCAGAACATATCCAGAGTATTCTTTTTAAATGAATGATTCTTTGTTTCTGCTTTTTATTTTTATTTTTTAACACCATATCAAAAATGCTGAAATACCCACACTGCACCACTAGGGGGCAAGCATGTTCACAGAATCCATGCTGCAAACTTGGCATCTTTCTCGCTTTATTTAACGGGTTTGCCGACCCCTCTAGTGATTGTTCTGTTCAACCTATACAGTATATTTCCACACGCATGCACATATTTTGTTTGTATTTTTAGCAGAGAGGGGCCGCGGTAGCTCGGTGGTCAGTACAAATCCTCAGGCTGCAGGTGCTAGCCCAGGATGCTTCTGGAAGAGCATCTGGTGTAAATAATAGCCAAATCTTTCATGCAAATGCAAATCCCTGAAGAAGAGAGCTGCCAAAAGAATATTTTCAGCTGAATGAGTCAGCAGATTCTGGGGTTCAGAGTAACTTCAGTTTGGTAAATAAATCCAGACAGGAAGGAGACTGAATATTTACCATGGGACCTGGTGGACCATCCTGTCCTGGAGCTCCGGGAAGTCCTTGTTCACCCTGCGGAAATCCATTCAGAGTTAGTATCATGGGCTGCAGGATTTTCTCTGCTCTACCATTGATTTTTATGTGCACAGCTGGATGAGTAATAAGCCGAGCGGGGGAGGAAAAGTGCGCTGGAATAAACAAGTACAGCTAAAGCAGAGGCCAAATGGGAGTATTGATTATTCCATGAAGTCTATCATTGTGTCTCTGTCGGAGCTTCGCGTCTCTCTGATTTTGTGACTTACGACAGGGCCGGGGATTCCACGCAGACCCTCTGGACCGGGCTTCCCAGGTGGTCCCTGAGGGCCGACGGGTCCTGTTTTACCAGCTGGGCCCTCGGCACCTGCTTCACCCTGTAAGAGAAATCAAAACTTGAGATGTCTGAAGCTAAAACAATCAAGTTATTAATTAATAATCAGCCATTGTTTCAGTGGCGAGAATGCAGTTTGTGCGTCTGTCACCAGAACATCTCCTGAACCACTGAACCAATTTCATCCATCCATCCATCCATCCATCCATCCATCCATCCATCCATCCAT